AAGAGCCTGTCCTATATTTTAACAGCTGATAGGGCATGTATAGAGAAAGGGACAGAGGATTTGCGTTTTTACCAATTTCTTTTGTATTCCTTGATCAATCTGGTGCTGAGCTTAAAGTACGCTTGTAAACATTGTTAATCTATTAATCTTCAAAATTAATCAACTAAATACTGCAGTCCTATGAATGTCACAGGCTAATGACAGGAAGATGATGATACGATTAGAGACCGGGCTGTTTCCACCATAGCGATATGCATGCATTTGTATTCTTAGTTCTCATCACTGACTGAAACAAAGGTACCCTTCCAGATGGGAAACTGTGTTAGACTGTGGCAGCAGAATAAAACAGGAGTCCAGTGGTACTTAAAGACGAACAGAATTTATCCCAGCATAAGCTTTGGTGCATCAGGGCTCACTTCATCACATGCGTGAGATGTACATCCATTAAGCCGATTCACACACACAACACAATTGGGGGAGGGTTTTTACAAAGAAAGGTCAGTTCAAAAACATCAGTTCCATCAGCATGGATGTGAGATGTTCCCAACTGTCATTAGCTAAGCTTTGGGGACACACAAAGGCCTTGCTCAGGTCTTGCAAACTGAGGGCAGCGGCTTCCTTGATTGCATCAACCCATCTCTTCTTGGGTCTTCCTCTTTTCCTGCTGCCTTCAACCTTTGCCTAGCGTTATGTTTTTTCCCCCAGTGACTCTTGTCTTCTCATAATTATGTGACCATAGCCTCAGCTGAGTAATTTTAGTTTCTAGGGAGAGTTCAGGCTTGATTTAATCTAGAACACACTTATTTTCTTTCTGGCGGTCCACGGTATCCACAGAACTCTCCTCCAGCACCACATTTCAAATGAATCAACTTCCTTCCTGTCAGCTTTCTTCACTGTCCAACTTTCACACCCATACACAGTAATGGGGAATACTATGGCACGAATTATCTTGGTCGCCAGTGACATATCCTTACACTTAAAAAAAAAAATCTCTTCTAGCTCCTTCACGGCAGCCCTCCCCAGTCTCAACCTCCTGATTTCTTGATTATCTCGGCCGCAGTCTCCCTTTCGGTTGATGATGAAGCCAAGGAATCGAAAACCTCAAACAATTTCACTCTCTTCATCATCAGCCCTAAAGTTGTGGAATGAGATACTGCTTATCTGCTTGCTGATCTCATTTCATCCTGTAATAGGTCCTGTACCAAAAGCTCTAGGAGGAGGTCTATGAACAAGCCAAGGGTCAAATGCATGAAGGAACCCTCTCCGCTTTTGAGATCTCATCTTGCTGTCCGGCTGTTCCTCTCAGTGCGCATGCGCACAGTGGCAGGAGCCATGGCGCCCTTACTCTCTATGCATGCGCAGTAGCGGCAAACCCCACCCATTGGCAGCAAGACCCACCCCAAAACCTTGACATCTCCAGAGAGATTTTTTGGGGTGAGTACTTTGTGTGTGTGTGTGTGTGTGTGTGTCTGCCTGGAAGTCATGGTTGACTTCTGGTGACCCTTAGAGGGGGTTTGGATGTTTCAGAGAGGTGGCTTGCTATTGCCTGCCTCTGCATCACAGCCCTGGTATTCCTTGGGTGTCTCCCATCCAAGTACTTGCCAGGGTCGGCCCTGCTTAGCTTCCGAGATCTGACAAGATAGGGCTTGCCTGGGCTAGCCAGGTCAGGACAACATCTCCAGTAAGACTTTGACCCGCCCCTGTGAGAGGGTATTTCTTAGAGTAACACAGCAGATTAAAAAAAAAAAAAGCTTCATGAATTAACAAATTCAAATCCCATCAGTACTGTAGAAGTTGACATAGTCATGGTCAAAGATTTAGTGATGTTGACAAATGCAATCAAGGGGTGGGTGCTGTTGCTGGGCAATAAATTCAAAATGCTGATTAACCTTGGAACAGTATGTGAATCTGAATACGTGACGAACACTTCACGGTACTGAATCTCCCTATTAAATTGTTTAATGCTTGCATGTCTTCATGCAATTAATCCTTGGCATAAGACAGATGGTGGGGTTTTATTGGTACATGCTTGCGGGGTTGGCACCACATAACAAGAGCTTGAGAGCATACATGTCGGGAACCGAAGGAATCTTGAGTGATGAGAATTGCTGTGTCAGTTTATGGAACGAGAACTACTATCAGTATGACTATGCTGTTAAAATAAAATTTCCCTTTAGAAGGTACTGAGTGAGCAGCAAGTTTGATGGAGGCTATAGGACAGAGACCGACGCTGTAGATAGTTATTTAAAATATTTATATGCCCGCCTTCCCCCTGACACCTCAGAACCCAAGGCAGGTAACAATCAATCTAAAATACCTTAAAACCGTACACATTCAAACACTGAAAACATGAAATAATAAAGAGAGTAAAATGTTTTATCTAATTTACTTTATTTATATCCCACCTTTCCCTCAATGGGGACCCAAAGTGGCTTACATTGTTCTTCTCGCCTGCATTTTATCCTCACGCCACAACCCTGTGAGGTAGCTTAGGCTGAGAGCGTGTGACTGGCCCAAGGTCCCCCAGCAAGCTTCCAGAGCAGAGCCGGGATTCAAACCCGGGTTTTCCAGATTCTGTTCCGATACTTTAACCATTCACCCCACACTGACTCTTAAAATAACCATTCAAAAAAACCTGTTTACAGCCAGGAAAACATTTCCCAGACTTGGATTGTCCCAAAAGCTCACTGGAATGATTGTAATTTGCAGCCTTGCTAGGAAGCCAGAAGAAGACCCCCCCTCTTTTCCAGGGGGCTGCCCCAAAAGCGTGGGCTGCACATGGAAAAAGTCCAAGCCCAGGTCATTGCAGAACAGATCCCAAATACAGGGGGAAGCTAAGATTGGAGTCCAGTAGCACCTTATAAGCTCAACAGGATTTTTGGGTATAAGCTTCCGAGATCCAAAGTTCCCCTCATCAGATATGAGTGTTTTGACTCTCAAAAGCCTATACCCTGAAAATGGGGTTGTTGAGGGGTATGGTCGCCAGCCTCCAGGTGGGCCTGGAGATCTCCCACTTTTACAACTGATTTCCAGCTGAGAGAACAGTTTCCCTGGAGAAAAGGCTGCGTTGAAGGGTGGACTCTATGGCATTGGACCACGCTGATGTCCTTCCCCTCCCCCAAACCCCACCCTCTCCCGGATCCACCCCCAAAGTCTCCAGGTATTTTCCAACCCAAAGCCAGGAAAACATTTCCCAGACTTGGATTGTCCCAAAAGCTCACTGGAATGAGGATAAAATGGAGAACGACGTAAGCCGCTTTGAGTCCCCCACTGGGGAGAAATATGATGATGATGATGCACTGTAACACTCTTAAGAAATCCTATGCATTTCCTCGCAAATGAACCCCACCGAGGTCAGTGGGGCTTTACTTTCAAGTTAAGCGACGGCAGCATAAATCTCATCCACTTTATCGCCATTTACATTCCGAGTAAACAAGAATGAGGAATTGAACAGGTAGTGTATACCAATAATATAAACAGCAAAAAAAAAAGGATGGAATTTTAATGCATAACTAAACTTTCCTTGGACTGCAAGAAGATCAAATCAGTGAATCCTAAAAGAAATGAACCCTGACTGTTCCCTGGAAGGCCAGATAATGAAACTGAAGCTCAAATACTTTGGCCACCAAATGAGAAGGGAGCACTCACTGGAGAAGACCCTGATGTTGGGAAAGACTGAAGGTCAAAGAAGACGGGGATGGCAAAGGATGAGATGGTTAGACAGTGTCATAGATGCAACGAAAATGAAATTGAGCAAACTTCAGAGGACGGCAGAAGACAGGAAGGCCTGGTGTAATGTATCCAGTCCAGACAAGTAAAGAGACAAACGCAGAGCTTCGCTCCAAGAAACAATGGACTATGCGGATCCTAGCCCGCTCCAATCAGGGGGCTAGGTTCCCGGCCGAGAGCCTATGGGACTCTCGGCCACTGTAAATAACCTATAGGGAAGTAGGGGTGTGTTTTGGGTTGCGGTTTCTCGGGGGATATAAGCCAGCCTGTGAGCTGGCCAAAGTCGTCTTGTTCCTGATAGAATAAAGTACGCTTTGCTGAAATCACTCTCCGTTTGCGTACTTTTCACCTGGCATGATCTGGTCCATGGCGACTGTGCGACTGAACAACAACAAAAACCCAAGAAGCCAGACCAATGTGTAACCCTTTCTAAATGCATGAGGAATTTCGCAATTGGAGAAGTATACAAAACGTGTTCATTCGTGCATATGGAACAATCGCACATAACCATATCTCTGCGTCCCACCCAGCACCTGTCACTGCCTGACCCGCACTGTAAGGTAAAGGTAAATGTTCCCTTGCTCGAAAGCCAGTCGAATCCGACTCCAGGGTTGCGGTGCTCATCTCCGTTTCCAATCCAAAGAGCCAGCGCTGTCCGAAGACGTTTCCATGGTCATGTGGCCGGCATGACTAAACACCAAGGCGCACGGAACACTGTTACCTTCCCACTGAAGTGGTACCTATTTATCTACTTGCAATTTCTTGCTTTGGAACTGCTAGGTTGGCAGGAGCTGGAACTACAGACAGGAGCTCACTCCGTCATGCGGCAACTCGGGTCTCGACAGCCTGCAGTTCAGCGCTTTAACCACCTGAGCAACCGCAGCTGTACGGTTACGCAAAAGGTCGCCGGACGGGATTCCTTCGTTTGCATAACCACGCCCCGTTAAAGAAAGGGGGGAACCGCATTGGCTAAACCGCCTCACCACCGCGACAGCCCAGTGGCGCGCGCGGGGCAGAGGACGACACGCACGCGCGCGGCCTCTCTCCGGGCGCCCAAGAGCCGCTATATTCTCCGGCAGGTTATTAGCATAATTCCACGCCCTTTTGCTGGCAATCGATTGGTCCGCAGGCGGGAGGAGCGGGAGGAGCGAGAGGGCGAGGGTGGGGGGGAAGGAAAGACGGAGCCCCGGTCGCTGTCTGTCTGGTCGCGCTGCTCTCCGCGGATTGGCTAGTTCTGGTTTGTCTGTCAAAAACAGAGGAGGAGGCGGGATTAGAAGAAGGAGGAGGGGGAGAAAAGAAGAGAGGGTCTCACTTCCGCCTTGGTGTCAGCGGGTCTTGTCGGGGGGCTTTTCCGCAAGTGCGCGTGCGCCGCGGGAGGCAGCCCCCGAGGAAGAGCGAGCGCGCGAGCCGGGTGCCAGGTAACCAGCCAACCGACAAACGGCCTTGCAACCCCCCTCACCCCCGCCTCCCCTCAGCCAGGGACTGATGGGAGGGAAGCCTCAGGAACACTGGGGGTTTTTTTGGGGGGGGGAGGGCACCCCTTGGCCTAGGGAGGGGGGTGGGTGCGAGAAGCAGGAGGGAAGGATGGGGGGCAAAGAGCAGATCCCCCCCCCCACTCCCTGCAGGAGAAAAGGGCTTCTCCCTCCACCCTCCTGGTATTGGTACTCTTCCCACGAAGGTGGAGAAGAGTGATGACTGTTTCCCCCATTAGAGCCTTTTTTCTGGTCAGGCAGCAGTGGGCTTTTCAGGAAGGAGGGGGCAGCCTGGAACACCCCCTTTTTCAGTTCACCCCCCCCCCCGTGCCAGGCAAAATCTCTTTTGGAGGGCTAAGCCCCCCCCCCCAAACTGACCTTCGCACATCACTTGTCACGGTGTGTGGGCAGGTGATCCAGCGGCTCTCTCTGGTTTCTGCCTGTCAGAGCTGCTGTTGAAGAGGGCATGGTTGTTTAGGTGGCTTTAGGGGGTCCGCCTGGGCTGTGGGCGAGGGGAGTGAGCTCGGGAAGGCAGGAGTTTTCCCCTTCAGCTGCCCCCACCAGCCTCCGTGGTTGCTGATCTTTGGCCTACAAGGAGTAAGTCACCCCTTCCCTGTTAGTTTCTTAGGGTTCCG